CAATGCCTTTACTGTGTTTATCATGTTAATTTATGTGTTGAACAACTTACCTTAATATTGAGGTTGATATATATCAGCAATGGCGAGGAGGGATTCGTGGAAGCGTTCACCATCATTTAGGAAACATCTCGTGGAGAGGAATTCAGCGAGGTAAACAACAAAATTGGGGCTGGGAGAATTGTGAAGCGAGATAGATTAAATAAAAAAATTGTCAGGTTCTACTAGGTTCTATGCATTGTCGTTTCCATTTTCGTGTTTAATATCATGATATTAGTGTGCAGAGAAATCTTCAACCAATTCTGACAATTCCTTCTGGTGGTCACCCTCTTCTACACCTTTCCCTTTGGTTATTCTAGGATTATTAAAATAAATTACGAATATATTTCTTTCCTTAGGCAAATTAGTATTAACGGAGATACGAGTAAAAGAACAAAAACGAGCCACAGCCATTAAACGAATATTAACTGGTCAGTTTCTATTATGTTCTAAAAAATGGAGTCCCTTCTAAAATATTTACTATAATGAAAAGAACATCTGGAAAAAATCAACAAAATTGAACGTCTTCTGGTGTTAGCCATGTCTTCCAGGATTATCTTTCTGCCTAATAGGCCAGGGATCCGCCCCCCAGCTAGGAAGTTAGGTTAGGTAGGTTTCATTGGTTAGGTCAGGTTCTGTTAGATTTTGTGCATTCTCGTTTCTATTTTCGTGTTAAACATCATTCAAATAACATCTCCAGAAATGTTGGTTCAATTCCATGTTATTCATACTGCTAACCGTGTTCTCCGCCTTAACCATAATTCCTATTTGCATCCTTGACCCAATACCCGGAAACCCAGGAAAAAACGTGAAATGTCACCTGTTATCAGGACCCAGAACACCTCCTTGCGTGATGCCACTCCTACAACTTAATTCAAGGTGGAGCCCCGTAATTGGTTGATATGCTCGCCTATATTCCATAATTAAACATTATCTATCTACCTATGTATGATTCCGGAGATAAAATAAACCGTAGTCTCGTACCGAAATGTCAACTGTTTATAATGAAGACCCAACGGACCTCCTTGCTGGACGCCCCTCCACAACTTACCTGAAGGTGGGCCCCCAGTATTCATCAATGGCCTCTATCTCACGGAGGAGTAGTTCATGTCTGAGGGCCACTGGGTCCTCCTCGCCCGTTTCAGGACCCTTGTTGGATGAATCAGAGGTTCTGGCCGTGTCCTCCTGTACTGTCACCTCCATAACAACAAACCTCGCTATTCACTTGTTCCTCCTTACACGGACTTGTGGGCGGGCAACAAGTGGGCGTCCACTATGCGTACTACTGCTATATCACACTCAATATTGTATTAATAGATACTTTTTTTTTCAGTAATCACATTATATTCTATAGCTCATCGTGGTTCACTTGTTCCTCTTTGCGCATATTTGAGTTGAGTGGCAGGAAGAAAGTGTTGTTCATTCTACGTCTTAACGTAAAATTACCGGTACAGTATTTGTTTCGTAACTTATGCAGAAATTATATTAATTACTACAATACATTAACTAATTTTCACTTGTTCCTTCATACACGGACTATTGGGTCGGCGGGATATCCACTATGCGTCTCCATCATTATAGTCAAAATTAATTAAAGTCTTTACAGATTTTTCTCAGCAATAATATATTAGTTATTACACTCCTACAATTAACACGTTGAAGCTTGGAGTTGCAATAAAGTTACCTGCATATATATTATCCATACATAAGTTCACGGAAGTGAGTCGAGTTATCTGTCAATTCTTATCATTTAAATCTTATTTATTGACTCCTCTTACTGTTGTGTGGGGTGGATCAAGGATTAAAGAAACTTCATAGAAAGGGGGGAAATTCTAGATAGAGTGATGCAAGACGTTTATGTACAATATAGAAATAATATATCAAAATTAATCGTAGCAACTCAGTCTTGTTTAATTATTCGAAAGACTAGGTAAGAATAAATTGGATGATTGATAGATACATGGATAGATAGATATTCAGTAAAGTCGTCATACAATTTTACATAAATTCAACATGAACATAAACAATGTAGGTGTACAAAAAAAAGGCAATCATTAAGTGTTAGAACATTATACCTGGAGCTGATGGAACATTTCAAGATGAAACATAGGAATTAAAGGAAGAGATGGAAAAGAAAGCATGGGAAGGGAGAAAATGAGAGAGAAAAATAATAGGAGGAACAGGGAAGAGAGTAAAGGAAACTGCAAGTCAGGAAAGGGGAGAAAAGAGGTAAGGGATAAGACGGGAAAACGAAAATGAAGGAGAGAAAATAAAACGATAGATATAAAATGGGAATAATATAGACAGGTAAGTAACAGCCTCAGGAAGAGAAAGAACAATAAAGTGGAAAATCAGTATATTCATAGTGAGGTCCACCAGAAGGGGGATAAGATAGAAGGATGTAGTGGATTTCTCCCCTACAAACGCTTGTCGCTGAGTAGCCGACTCCGCGAATTCCCCAGTGTGTGCCTCGTGGTCTAGGTCAACCAGCGCCGCCTTACTTAGCGGAGGTCAACTATTAAGCCACGCCTACCTCCGCTATAAAAGACCTGACCTCGTGGTGACCACTCTCTAAAAAATAATAATAAAAAGCAGCACTATATAAATAAACCAATATTAATACAAAGGTCTGACGACCCAAGGGAGCAGAACAAAGATAAAACACCAATAAGAAAGATGAAGCGATCTGGTTGAGCCCAGATTCTTTCTACTACTGTATTTCAGTTTCACCACTTTTCCTTCAACCCCTAATAATCTTCTTTCACCTCATAACTAAAGACTCCGTACCGTACCGACCACTCTCTTCTTCTAGCTACAGCCGCAGCAAGCAACACCACCTCTTCCGCCGCTGCCTGGCGGCCCTCGCTCCTGCCGGTGAGCATGGCGACCCACAAGCTTGTCCTCCTCTGAGCACCCTCACCAACCAGCTCTCTCTCACTAGCGTAGCTTGGGGGGGGCGGTCCGTCCCGGGCGGCACTTTTGGGGGGCGGCACTTTTGAGTCTGCTCATCACCCATATCTGCAGCTACTGGAGACGTTAATCCATCCCTTTGTATCGGCGTTTTTGCTTTTTGTTTAACTGTTACTTATAAAGTTTAAGCATGTTTGGTGTGTATTTAAAGCATACTATATTTGAGTATGTGAAAGTACAGTAATATTATAATGGTACACAAACTATTTAATATATATATATATATATATATATATATATATATATATATATATATATATATATATATATATATATATATAGATTGAGTCACTGTGCAATATGTATTTTGTGGGGGCACGGGGCGGCAAACTCAAGGGCCGCCCCGGGCGGCACACACTCCAGCTACGCCACTGCTCTCTCTACATCACGCTTGTAACCATGCTGCCTTCCCAGCACCAAGCTGCATTGTACATCCAATACAACATGTATACAGAGAGCACATTGTGAGTTTCCTTTCTCCATCCCATCCTGAATGTGAACCAAACAACCTGTTCCCCACAAGGAAATACTGTACGAAAAAGAAGCTTTGTCACACACATATTTGGCGTATGATTCATCTCACGGCTGCTGACTCCGCCCACAGTAGCGTTTCAATCATGTTATGTCCTTTTATTTATATACTGGATCTGCCTATCTATCTATCTATCTATAATCTTTAATCCTCTCAATCTCCCGTTTCAGGTTGATCAAGGGGTACATAAAACTTTCATAGAAATGGATAAGTTATTATTATTATTATTATTATAAGGTTAATATTATGTAAACGACTGTCGGAGGAAGAAACTTCAAAATAAATAAAGCGTCGGCGGGTATCTCGTTAATAATAATATTTATTATTATTATTATTATTATTATTATTATTATTATTATTTTCTATACATAGATTACAAACTTGCTGCTTATCCTGGACTCATAATTTACAGCACAATAAAAGATAATTTTGGAGGAATAAACACTTTAAAAATAACAAGATTACAATGAACAATCACAAAATATTTAAAACCCGTTATTTTATTGAGGAGAGACCAAACGCACTAATTATTTAAATATTTTATTGAAGAAATACATAAATGTATATTTTCGTATATAAGCACTGTATACAGAAAAGTAGAAGTAAATAAATTATAGCTTTGTAGCCATTAATGAATAATAATGATTTCCAGAGGACAATAATTTTATATTTAATAATCGTGATATTATACAAAGCTACAGGCAGCTTCAATTTAAAAACAAAATAAAACAAAAGCACTGCTTCTTTGCACATCACCCATCCACACACACCTATTGTAACAAATAATGTTAGTCCATTAAAAACTGGCAGGCAAATTGATTCCAACAAATTTTTGATGGCAGATAAATAAGTCACAATGAAGCAAAAACCAAAATTAGCAGCGCTGCTTTAAAGTCTGTAAATGACCCCCAAGAACAAGCATGTTATTACTGACTAAAACATTTACAGGTATAAACAAAGTTAACAGCTTGGTAAGTAAAGTTTGTTTGTATATCACTGAAGTGATAAAGTAAGTTAATATAAAAGCGTTGGAGTAGTCAAGGTTAAGTGAAGCCAGTACAATGCAGCGTGAGGCCATCTATGATTTTTCGACGACGAGGCTTCCCAGTAAAGCAAGTTGTCACAACAGGTGGGTACTTGGTAAGGTTATATGTTTATGCTCGTCATTGAACTCTGACATATTGTTGTTATATATCCACACAACAATATTGGTAAAACTATTGCTATTTGTATCAAATACAGAACATGTATAGCGTTAACAACTCCCGAACGGACAGGTGCATCTCTACTTGCTTTTCCATATACAACAAAGTAATCCCAAATCAAATGACAAAATTTTGGATCAATTGAAGATACGTCCCCTAGCTTATTTCACCTGAAGTTTAACCACCTTAACGCTACCTAAGGGGTTAGGTTATGTTATTGTTTTGGTGATTAATCTTCAAGTAGTTCATTTTTTTTATCACACCACTAAAATGCCAAGAATTCTCATGATCTACTAAATTAGTTTAGTGGTGAGGTATTGTCCAGTGGTGAAAATGAACTGTCCGGTGCTGTTCTGCGCTGGGTTTAACGAAAGACTGGTGTGACGGAGGGAATGGTCGGGAGGGGAGTGGAGGTGGTGGAGGTGTACCGTCCTCCTCCACCACCTCCCCCAAAACCACCACCTCCCCCAAAACCACCACCGCCTCCAAAACCTCCCCCACCTCCAAAACCACCACCGCCACCTAGACCTCCTCCGCCTCCAAAACCTCCACCACCTCCTAAATGTTTACCGCCACCTCCACTTTGTTCCCCTAATTCGCCACTCCCAAAACCTCCTCCACCACCTCCAATTTGTCCTCCAGAATCACCACCTCCAGAACCTCCTCCACCACCTCCAGAATCACCACCTCCAAAACCTCCTCCACTACCTCCAATTTGTCCTCCAGAATCACCACCTCCAAAACCTCCTCCACTACCTCCAATTTGTCCTCCAGAATCACCACCTCCAAAACCTCCTCCACTACCTCCAATTTGTCCTCCAGAATCACCACCTCCAAAACCTCCTCCACTACCTCCAATTTGTCCTCCAGAATCACCACCTCCAAAACCTCCTCCACTACCTCCAATTTGTCCTCCAGAATCACCACCTCCAAAACCTCCTCCACTACCTCCAATTTGTCCTCCAGAATCACCACCTCCAAATCCTCCACCACTACCTCCAATCTCATGCCCACCTTTAGAGTTTCCAATTTTGGAGGCAGTTCTTGACGTGCGTCTGTTGGATCTAGCAATGCCAGAACCAAATGAACCATCAATCCCTGGCTTGTTAGAGCTTGAACCACCACCACCACCACCACTGAGTGAACCATCAATCCCTGGTTTGTTAGAGCTCGAACCACCACCACTATGTGAACCATCGATCGCTGGTTTGTTAGAGCTCGAACCACCACCACTTAGTGAATCGTCGATGCCTGGTTTGTTAGAGCTTGAACCACCACCCCCACCACTGAGTGAACCATCAATCCCTGGTTTGTTAGAGCTCGAACCACCACCACTTAGTGAATCGTCGATGCCTGGTTTGTTAGAGCTTGAACCACCACCACCACCACTGAGTGAACCATCAATCCCTGGTTTGTTAGAGCTCGAACCACCACCACTTAGTGAATCGTCGATGCCTGGTTTGTTAGAGGAACCCGGCATACCAAAAAGGTCTCGAGGGATTCGTAAGTTGATCGAAGCTGTACCGAGGCTCCTGGCAGGACGGTTGGAGAAAATAGACCTGCCACTACGGGGCTTCACACCTCCATAACCTCCGTCTGGTAGTCTGCCGATGCCTCTGTTGCCAAAGCCACTGTTTCCAAAACCATTGTTGTCATATCCACCGTTGCTGAAGTCTCCGTTGTCGAAGCCGTTGTTGTCATATCCACCGTTGCCGAAGCCTCCGTTGTCGAAGCCACCGTTTCCAAAGCCTCCGTTGTCGAAGCCACCGTTTCCAAAGCCATTGTTGTCATATTCACTGTTGCTGAAGCCCCTATTTCCAAAGCCGTTCCTGTCATATTCACCGTTGCTGAAACCGCCGATTCTGTCATATGCTCCTCCATAACCTCCACCACTGCCTCCGTTGGAATATCTACCGTTGCCAAAGCCACCATTACTGTACCGCTGTGGATGTGCAGTGGTGACAAGGGCCGCCAGCAGCAGCAGCAACGGACCCATCGCACTACCACTCATGGCCGCGTTCTACCTGTTTCAGAGACATGGATTAGATCATTTGATCCAATAAATTTGCTTTTAAATTTCTCTAACAGCCATATTTTGAGATATTTATCTTTCTGAAGTTTTATTTGCTGATATTTTATGTTCAATATAAAACTATATATTGAAAAGCAGTAATAAGAGCAAAAGTAAAATTAAAGTCAACAGCTGTTCAAATCCATACATTATTATTCTGGCTTCGTCTCCACACAGAAGTTTTGCTAAATGATCTTATTAAAAACATAAATGCTTGGTGTTAGATGAGTTCCACACTATACTGATACCGAGCTTCTAATACTGTAATCGGAATTGTTTCAAGATTTTTTTACCGTAAATTTAAGAAATCATTGAACTGATAAATTCTTAAAACCTAATACAGTAGAAAGTTTTTGGTACGCACAGCGTAGCGTACACGATTTACAAATATGCTCATTCAAAATATAAAAGAATAAAGACGGAATAGAATTTCAACGTATAAGCCACATATCTTATTCAAACATTTGGATTAGTTTTAGTTGAAACAATCAATTGTATAAAGTTTTTAAATGCAACATGTTTATTTACCACATGAACATTACTGCATAATTATGTACTATGCACCCATATACTGTATGCGTGAGGGTTTGTTATTAAGACGGACTTGAAGTAGCAGCGGGAGGAACACACTGAAGAATTACTCATCTGAATGGACCAACTCTCGATTGACTGGAACCCACGAAGAAAGAAAACACCCCCCAAAAATACAATGTACTTACTGTACGTGATGGATAGATGAAATTTCAAGATTTGGAGGTACTCTGGGAAGACAAGCTGTTCCAAGATTCGTTCCAGCAGGTCGGAGTCTGAGGTGTGTCAAAGAGCTTAGTTTTGTATACTTATATATGAATAAACTTTAAGATGCTATTTTTCCCCAAAGTTACAACATCACACCATACACTTACTTTAAGTTGATGGCACAACGCCGTCAGTGACAGATGTCCTCCACAGTCAATAGCTATGGCGGTGGCTAGCACCACACTGTGAGAAGAAAGTTTCGGCGTGTCATTTATATACCGTCGGTCAGGGTAGGTGTTTGCTTTCCTGTGTCCGAATGTCGACAAGTTTGCTGACGTGGGGATGAAGTATTTTGTTGCCTTACGCAACTGAAGTTTGTGTGTTTAGGTGTTGATTCACTTATGTGGCAAAAGTTGTTACCGAAGGAAGTGGGATGGTGGTGTTACTCTTTGCACTGCATATTCAAGGTTCTGTAATTGTACATTTCTTGATCTGTAATCTGTCAAATGCTTGTCAATCAGCTTCCAGAAGTCAACGAGCGACGAGAAGTGACCATCTGCTTAGGTAAAATTATTCAAAAGTCCACATTGCACTAAGGTATTGTATGTTTGCGTTCTCATACGTTGAATATATATATATATATATATATATATATATATATATATATATATATATATATATATATATATATATATATATATATATATATATATATATATATATATATATATATATATATATGTGTGTGTGTGTGTGTGTGTGTGTGTGTGTGTGTGTGTGTGTGTGTGTGTGTGTAAGAGAGAAGATAGAAAAATATTTGCATGACTGTCCTATACATTAACCTGATAAAATATTTGGCCCAATGATGCTTGTTTGTGATAAGCTCGGAGGCTCCACTACAGTACTGTATATTCATCATACTTATGAGGAATTGTATGGAATGTGGAATCTGAAATGATACAAAAAATTTTATAACTGCAACTTCTTTTATTTAGTCTTGTATATAGTAATCCGAGATCCATTGTCGTCGACATTATGTTATTGCTGCGCTTCAAGGTTAGTAATTAATAATGATGAGAGATAGAACTGTCTGATCCCCATGCAAGGTCACAATTACCTAATAAACCTTGTTCATTATTATTCTGTTCCATAGCATCTTTGTGTTCATCAGATTTTTAAGGTACAAGAAGATGCATGAAAAAATTTAAAGAATGCTTTCAGAATATATTTACCCTCATGATTCCACTTCGCCAATGTTGAATCAAGTGACAATTCCCAGGTAACAAGAGTCATGGCCATTCTTGGTGTATTCTGGAAAGTGTTAATAATATAATGTCAAATACTTTATAGTGTTTTAATGCTCATTTTCCTATCTCACTTAAGGATGTTAAAATTTTTCGTTAATAATTTATTGGCTCCAAGTGAATATTTATATTTATCCTCTTTATTCTTGTACACAATTCAACTGTTACCAACGATGATGTATGACTAAATATTGTGAAATCTAAAGAATAATTAGACTTGCCACAGTATCGGGAAGCAGTGATTTCCACAAACTCTCCAGGAAAGCCGTGATTCACAGTTCATGTCATAAAAGTTTTACCTCCGTTGCCTCCGCGAGCAGTGGTTTCTCTCAACTGTGTAAAATCGTCTTGCGTTAGACAATAAAATACCAAAGTGCGACACTGCCCTTTAAAGGGTTAAACAAATACCACTACTATTATCCTTAAAACTTGCATACATAAACTCACATTGCCATTTATCAAGGAAGGTATAAATATAATGTCAGTACAACACACAACTTGTGTATAAGAAGGGATCTGGAAGGCAGGGTCACACCTGAATGTGTTCTCGGGAAACTCCAGCCGAAGTAAACACTGGCTCTCTCCTTGTTTGCAGCGACGCTGGCGAACTGACGTCACTCGCACAACTGACGCCACTCATGCAACTGACGTTATTTGCACAACTAACGTCACCTACACAACTGACGTCACTCGTGAAACTAACGTCACTCGCGCAACTGACGTCACTCTTAAAACTAACGTTACGCACGCAACTGACGTCACTCGCTCAAAGAAAACAGTCTGATAAGATTTACCTATACAGTGTGTGGTAAACGAATGTATGCAAGATAAAATTGAGGAATGCAACAAGGTCGCAGTAATAAGACCACTTTTCTGTGCCAATCCAACCTTGAATAACAATACACTATGTTGCTGATTCACATATCGTTCAAAGGTTCCTGGCCTTTTAATTGAGTAATAAAATATATATATATTATTTGAAGTCATTGGGAAGATTTCCTTTGAAGGAAATAAAATTACAATATACTGTAGTACAGGGTGAATCAAGTCTTCATACAAAGGTAAAATGGTCACTTTATTATGCAATCACTTGTAAGTCACTGAATGCACATACGGATGCGTTCCTCCCACTCATGGTGAACACGCGTTAACAAGTCTGGTGTTACGCGCGCACACGCATCACGAATGCGTTCCTTCAGGTGGTCAGTGTTTTGTATCTTCACCTGGTACACCATGGCTTTCAAGTGCCCCCACAAGTAAAAATCAAGGGGGGCGAGGTCTGGGGACCTCGGAGGCCACTCCACGGGACCACGGCGGCCAATCCAGCGAGCCGGAAACTGCTGATCCAGCCACTGGTGCACGCGGATACCGTAATGGGGTGGCGCCCATGTTGCTGAAATGTAATGGTGCCCACAAAGAGCACCTAAATTTTAAAGTTCATCACTACACTACACTAACAGTAGCTAGAAGAGAGGTCTACGTCATTCTGGGGAAGGAAGATGTACAGTACATCACTAGGGAGGGAGCTGCACATCACTGGGGAAAGGAGAAGTACTGTACAGTACTTAAGAAGGCTCTTTTCGTTCGCTAACACCTTTTGTTTTTCTATTAAAATCAAATCGACGTTTATTATTATTATTATTATTATTATTAGTATTATTATTATTATTATTATTATTATTATTATTATTATTATTATTATTAATTATTATTATTATTATTTTCTATAAATAAGTCAATATATATTTAGTTCAAAACTTTGTAAAGATTACCAAAAAGTTGGACATCACTTCGTCATAAGTGTGTAGTAATGTGTCATAACCGACTACGACAGTTTTCCTCAGGAGTGTGAATAGCAGCACTTCCGAGAAGCTATTACTCACCACTGCAGTAACAAGGGTGAAAATAATTCAAGACTTCAATGTGGAAATTATGTGCAATATATTCTCGCTCACCTTCACTGTGTCAACTTGGCTGTGTTTTAAACCAAAAACTATCTCTGTCTCCTACTGGGAATTAACACACTACAGGTCCACCTAGAGTCCTAGACGTTGCCTCGGGCGGTAAATGGTGAGTACTAAGTTATTATTTTAGTAGGCATAATAGTACTGAATTTATTTTACATATTATGTGTCAGAAATTGCAATTAGTTTAGGAATATATGAGAAAATGGCATTTCAATATTTGTGAGACTCGACACTGACATGCAGACAGGCGATATCTTAATTAATGAGATAAAAAGCTTCATAAGTTTACAGAAGTATCAGAATTTTTTTCCTCATCGCTACTTGTCACCTTACTATTTTTATAGTAGGTCGGCTTGTCGGTTAGTTCTGTAGTCACTACAGTGTAGTGCACTGTTGGCAAGTGCTTAGCTGAGCTGGGCGTGTACGGCCTCTTTTTTTTAATTTTTACTTTTAGGCTCTTTGCCACTGATCGGCTCGTTAGCCGCTTGGGCGGTCGGTCACTTCTCTGTTAGGCACTGTTGGCAAGTATTGGGCATTCACTGGCTCCTTGAATGTATCTGAACCTGCTCCAGTGCCTGTCAAGTCTGGTCTTGAAAGAGCTCACACTCATTGCCACCACAACACTGGCAGATTGTTCCAAGAGTTCACAACTTTCACTCCGAAGAAAGTACCCCTCACAGTTTTCTGGGCTTGCGGTTTCTCCAACCTTGAGCTGTGACCCCTTGTGGGGCGAGCATCCGCCAGCTCCAGGTAAGGCCACTCGACTGAGTGCCCTTTGAGATGTTTATACACCTCAATTAGCCCCCCCCCCCTTGCCCGTCTGTAGTATAAACTAGGCAATTTCTGACTCTCTAATCTCTCAGGGTAGCTGAGGTGCCGTAGTGCAGGCACCAGTCTGGTGGCTCTCCTTTGGACATTTTCAATCAACTGACAGTCCCTAGTATATCTCGGGACCAGACGGGGTGACAGTACTTCAGACGGGGAAGCACTTCTCTCCATGAATATCGTTATGAGGGTCTAGATATCTGAACGACCTTCTTATAAGACCTAATAATTTAGTTGCCTGATTCACCTTGAAGATATAATACTTTTTCGCTCGTTTAAAGTGCAAAATCAGATGTTTTTTTTTTCGTGTGGGGAGTTCCAGTACCGGTTTTATTGTAAAATTGTAATAACGAATAATATGTCTACATACTAAATTTATGAACAGTTGATATCACTAAAAATATCAAAGGTACCAATTCACTTCGTTTACATGACGATAATTGGAACAACCTTATATCCCTGCATCTGGACGACAGGTACTTGTATATGCGAGAAACTATAAAGCGTTAGAAGCTTCACATTATTTTCTAGTGACTACAAACACAATAGATAAGTTGCAGCCTAGTTAGATTATCTTAAAATATAGTGTACCAAATTTCCCGTCAGGCAATAGCCGTTAGTACTTCCTCACCCTTGATAGCTGCTGTTGAGCCATCACTGAAATCTGAATACCCGAAACTTATTAGGTGTTTATGTCATCTCTTTCAGATATTTTGTTGTATGTTTTATTAGTACTGTAGTTAGCTCTTGTTGGTGACTTAGTACAGTACCATGAGGTAAACAAAAATTTCATTAATTATTTTTATTTAGGGATAAACCATTATTGTTTAGAAACGAAACTTCCTTCTATTATTATTATTATTATTAATAATAATAATAATAATAATAATAATAATATTATTATTATTATTATTATTATACGGTTAAATTTTTATCTTAAAATTGTATGTTGAAGAAACTAGGGTCTATGACCAGTGCTTAATAACCCGAACTAAACAACAACAAAGTTGGAGTGTATAATTATACGGTAGTCGTTTTAGATCCGTTGTAATCAACTTCCTTTGATAACGGAGTAAAGAATTTTTCTGAAAATGTTTAAAGTAAATCCCATTTGGTACGCTGAATAAGCATGTTTATTTCAGAAATGTTACAGTATATTGTATGCCGTTGAAGATGGTGAGTAAAGGCACTTTGCATTTTAGAAATGTTTACTGTAAATTACATTTGAAATGAGTGAACATTTTAATTTCACAATACATATATGTTTGCCCAAAATTACCCTTTCTTACAAATCATACACATAGTCAAACAATAAAAAAAAATATGCAAATGGACTTTGCGTACAAATCTCACCAAACATTTTTCCCACTGGACAAATTTTTTTTTCACACGTTTATCTTCTGGACAAGAACCAACCACACAATTAATTATATAATGGACTAACACACTCGACAAAATCCCACCACTATTAATAAGAGTGGACGGAAAGGAAATCTACCAACTCTTGCCTAAGCAGTTCCTAATACACTTTTAGGCTAGGTCAGGTCAGGTGGGATTTCGTTAGGTTAAATGAAGATAAACTTTGTTAAATTGTCAGGTGGAATTACGTTTGGTTAGGTAAGATTTCGTCAAATTTTTTTTTTAATCCTCCTCCCCACCAGTACGGATGTCCACCCTGACACCCTTCACCCTGCCAGAGCTGTCGCCAGAGTAGGTTGCCCCCGTGGCCCAGGAACTTCCTCCTCCTTCGCTGCCTCCATAACCTCCACCGCTTCCTCCGATCTGGAAACCGCCTCCGGAAGCAGAACATGTGACGCCCGGTTTATTGGTAAGACAACCGCCACCACCGCCACCGCCACGCCAAGAGCCGCCACTGCCTCCACTTGATCCACCACCGCTGCCGAATCCACCTCCTGATCCGCTACCACCGCCGAATCCACCTCCTGATCCACCGCCACCCCCAAATCCACCTCCTGATCCACCACCACCCCCAAATCCACCTCCTGATCCGCCGCCGAATCCACTCCCTGATCCGCCTCCAAATCCACCTTCCTGATCCACCGCCGATCCACCTCCCGATCCACCGCCACCGCCGAATCCACCTCCTGATCCACCCCCGCCGCTGAATCCACCACCGCCAAATCCACCTCCGGATCCACCACTCACAACTTGTTCCACCACCACAACCTGATTCACCACTATCGCCACCAAATCCACCCCTGATCCACCGCTACCACCTGATCCACCACCAAATCCACCTCCCGATCCTCCGCCACCACCAAAGAAACCCCCGATCCACCGCCACCACCTGATCCACCGCCACCACCAAATCCACCTCCTGAACCACCACCACCATTATATCCACCTCCAGAGCCACCACCTTCTCCAGATCCACCGCCAAATCCTCCGCCTGATCCACCACCTGATCCTCCACCACCACCAAATCCACCTCCTGATCCACCACCACCATTATATCCACCTCCAGAGCCACCACCTTCTCCAGATCCACCGCCAAATCCTCCGCCTGATCCACCACCTGATCCTCCACCACCACCAAATCCACCTCCAGATCCACCACCGCCGCTGAATCCACCCCTGATCCACCGCCACCGAATTCACCACTGTCGCCACCAGATCCACCGCCACCCCCGAATCCACCACCTGATCCACCATCGATTCTGCCACCTGATCCACCTCCTCCAAATCCACCGCCACCGCCTGATCCACCACCACTACCTGAGCCACCTCCAGATCCACCGCCAAATCCTCCGCCTGATCACCACCTGATCCTCCACCACCACCAATTCCACCTCCAGATCCACCACCGCCGCTGAATCCGCCCCCTGATCCACTGCCACCGAATTCACCACTGTCGCCACCAGATCCACCGCCACCCCCGAATCCACCACCACCGCCTGAACCACCTCCAAATCCACCGCCACCGCCTGATCCACCACCACTACCTGAACCACCTCCAAATCCACCGCCACCGCCTGATCCACCACCATTACCTGATCCACCTCCAAATCCACCACCACCGCCTGATCCACCACCACTACCCCTGATCCACCACCACTACCTGAACCACCTCCAAATCCACCGCCACCGCCTGATCCACCACCACTACCTGATCCACCACCACCACCTGATCCACCGCCGCCACCAAATCCACCACCACCGCCTGATCCACCTCCACCACCTGATCCACCGCCACCACCTGATCCACCACCACATCCAGCCACCGCCTGATCCACCACCACTACCTGATCCACCACCACCACCTGATCCACCGCCGCCACCAAATCCACCACCACCGCCTGATCCACCTCCACCACCTGATCCACCGCCACCACCTGATCCACCACCACATCCAGATCCACTGCCACCACCACAGTCAGATTTAGAGCCGCCGTTCCATGATAAACTGCCCGATCCAGATCCTCCTCTTCCTTCTGATCCACTGAATGAGGCTGATCCACTGCCTGATTCTCCTCCTGATCCACTGAATGAAGCTGATCCGCTGCCTGAGTCTCCTCCTGATCCACTGAAGGAGAAGGAACCACTCACAGAGCCGCTGCCAGAGATGTGTTCTGCAAGGTTGCAAAAGGGACAATGTTTTCTTTTGGCTTCTCTGACGGTTCGGCGGGTGGAGTCTACCTGTGGTGCCTCTTGACCTCGGTAGGTGGCTCGTCCTCCTCCCCCTCGACGATAACCTACTGGGCTGTGGTCGTCTTCCTGGGAATTGTCATCAACTTCTCCATAGTCTCTCTTGTATCTACTGCTCAGGTATCCACTAGTTTCGCCAGTTTTGATGGGGTTGGGAGCAGAGAAGACCCCAGCCACCACCGCAGCTACCAGCAGGAACAACACTGCACTCCCGTGCATGGCTGCTCTCTGTAATGAAATTAATACTAATGATTTTGAGCTCCACCCACTTCAGTGTGTTCTTAGGAATCGGAGATGAGGAATCACTCAAAAATGAACACTGGAATTCTGTAGGAAATATTTTTAACAGTATATCAAAGAAGTCAATTTATGAATCTATTGAGCGTATCCCATTTGTAAGTAATAGTTGATCAAAGAAGTAGGGAAATTAGCATTTATTGGTTCCTTTAGAATGAATACCATTAAATCTAAATCGCATGGAAAATATCTCACTACTTGACAAGAATAGAGCGTTATTCCGCACTTCACGTTGCCCTTCATTCTCACACTAATTGGAAACTAATTTTAATGGAATATCGAAATGTAGATTTTATATACAGTAATTATATCGCATTTCTTTATCATAATTTAGTGCCAGTAAAACACCATAAAGTCTATTCCTATTTCTACTCATTATGCTTAGCACAATTAGATTAGCTGTAAATTTTTATATTTGTAAGATGTGAATGATTGACTACCATACACACTACAGGGTAAGATGGTGAATGATAGGATACCATACACACTACAGGGTAAGATGGTGAATGATAGGATACCATACACACTACAGGGTAAGATGGTGAATGATAGGCTACCATACACACTACAGGGTAAGATGGTGAATGATAGGCTACCATACACACTACAGGGTAAGATGGTGAATGACTGACTACCATACACCTTTTTTTAAATGAAACAAAAGGATTTTGCTTCAATACGAGAGAAAATAATTAACTGTTTTTGCTGATATTCCGACAAAAGGTATTATTTGAGGTAGCAGATGCAATGGTAAAACTATGAAATAATGTATGGAAATTTATAATATTGCTCGCTGGATGTTTTAAGTTGGCAAATAGACATAATGATTTAATAACTTAGACGTATGGACTTAAAGGAGTTAGTTGTTAAAGCGCAGTGATACATTATAACATCAACTTACATTATCAGTGGACGGAGGATGTATAGAGAATATTATAATGGGTGTAGTAGAGGTAAAAGGAGGTGCCCGTGTGGGGCTGTGCGTTTGGGTCAGCACGTCAACCCTTACTGCACACTACACACACTCCCCCCAGCTTTAATATTGCTGAAGGTTCGCCGTCATTATTTACACAGGAGTTACACGGTTGCACCTTCTGTTTATTTAAGCAGCAAAGATGACACAGCAGGTATATTTGAGGATGGCGGTGGACAAGATTCTAAGAACGTTGGGAAAGATCACGGACGCCAACTGAACCTGTGCGAGTGTTCCTGACGTCAGCAAAGGGGATAGATTAATTGGGTTTTCCAGACTAAATAAGTTAATAGTTCCGTCTGACTCTTTAATTGTTATTTGTCTGAGAAACTAAGGCCCACCCAGGTAGTTGAAAAATCTGAAGGAAGACAATGATTACTGGTAGCTTAAATACATGAATCCTAAGCATATATTTATTAGGAACTAGATCAAGTGAACGGCGTTTAATAAATAACCCAGGCAGTTGGAACACCAAAATTAGAATCGACACGCCCAAAATTTTACTATTTCAAAAGGTGTCTGCTCTCAGTGGCACTTCACAACTATATGGCACTTGAAGCACTTTGAAAAATTATGAAGTCATTGAACTTATCATCACCACAAAAAATAACGACACTTCAATTATACTCCGCAAAACACCTTAAGATAAAAAATATATATTTTTTTCACTTAACCAAACTTAACTTGTAATAGATTTATTGAAAAATCTAACGAAATAAAACAATTTTTACGGGGTTTAACGGGAAATTACCAATAAAACATTTATACAGTAATAAAAACGAAGCTCAAAAAAAGATTACAGGCACCGTATGTGTTGCTGATTAACCCGGTGAACGGTCAGGTGATGCAGCGATTATAAAGCCTAAACAAGAATTATGGCAAGGATGGAAGAACAAGAGGGATGAGAGAATAAATAGATAGAAGAAAGACTAACAATGAAGAAAAGAGATCAAGGTAAAAAAACAAAAAAGGACAACGAAATCTAAGAAAGAACAAGATGAAGGACAGCCACAGCTCCAGCCATCACGACTCTTACACGTGAACTTATATTAATCCTTTTCTTGTTCTCTTTAACGGCTGTTGTAGAACATAATACAAGGACTTGTATTTTTAACTTTGTAAATTTGCTTCTATATATCTTTGTTTTGTAATAACAAGCACAACACATAGCACAAAGACTACAGACTAGAGGCTGTTTTCTCCGCTTTTTACTTTCAGTGAGCTTTTAAGATAAGTATAAATTTAAATACATAATGGTTATTTTAAAACAACTTGATAACGTTTCCTCTACGTACGGTACAGCATATGAAACAATTTTATATACAATTATAGATTTAGCCTATAACGAGAGTTTATGTTGCGGGCCACTTGACTCTTTCCATAACGGATATGACCTCTTTTCCCTAATATTTCGGTTCCTTATTATTGAATTCAAGCCTGTCAGTAGTTGGAGATATCCACCAACCGGTGGAGCTAATTAAGTTTTTACACCGAAATAATTTCTTTTAATTTTAGGTATATCAGTATATCATCGGTAAAATTGACTTAATTTTGACTAAGAAATTCCAGGTTCTCTTAAGTTTTGCCTAAGTTACAAATACTATCCATTCACAGTATGCGTCACTGTGTTCTACAATCTATATTACTGTTTATTGCACATACCAATTGTAATTTTCACACAGATTAGAAAGTTATTAAATATATCACGATAGTGTACTGTATATATCCTAGAATCTACTGTAGATTATCAAGAACACTGGAGGGACCCTACACGAGCCACCGGCCTCCTTCCCTTGGCATGGCCACCTAACCATCTGAAGTTTTTGCCAAATATGGATGTTTTGTATTTTTATTGCTACAATTTAATGGAAATTAATTTGAATATTGTAAAATTTGTTCTGTTTAATTTAAGACCTCGTTTACCATCATAAGACAGCCAATTATACCTTAAGTAGGTTAAGAAAGGTTAGCTTAGGTTAGAATACGTTTTCTATGAAACTATTCATGTATTAAGTTGATCTACAATGTAGGTTCTACATGGTCGTCTGTGTCCTGTATGACCGGTCAGAAGCTTCCAAAAGGAGAAATACATAGAAGTTATCGCTCGTAGGCAATTATCCATATTTAGTGTGTGTGTGTGTGTGTGTGTGTGTGTGTGTGTGTGTGTGTGTGTCTGTGTCTGTGTTTACACAGGTGTGTACACATTAAACAAGGCCTTTAATCATATTTTGTCACTATAGGCTGCACAGTGTTAATAATTATTAACGCAGTAATTCTGTAATCAAACTTTTATTGTGCAGTAATGTAAAGTCTCTAAAAAGTATTGCCAATGTATTCCTTTATTAGCCACATCAAGTATACTTTGTTACTACGACCTCACATTTAGTTAAAACTTTAAAGTTCACGCAGGAAAGTCATTCTGTGGAAGTTTATATTATGGTGTGTGGAAATTTCGTCTGACGTCCAGTTTTCACTTAATTTTAATAAACAACCTGGCACGCTGTAGTCTGTGTTCAAAATATATGACTTTAGCTACAGAGGTCGACTTGTCATTGTGCAATATAGGTAAGGTTTGGTTCAGTTAATTATTTTGTATTGTAAACTGTATACTGGCTATTATAAAAAGATGGGGTACTGTATCGGGGTAGGTAACAATGGCTTAGTTAAAACACAAAATCTTTATTAAGATTAACATATTCAAACAACACTTACATGCAGTGCTTAAAATCCTGCGTCTGCCTTATATCTATAGTTATTTGTTAATGCTGCAAAATTATTTCGGTATTTGCTACAATATCAGTGACCATACCTCTCTGTAGTACATAAACAATAGGATAGTAAAATTACAATATGTTTAATTGAAAACTTTAATTTATTCAGTATTTTACATCAAGCACATTAGTTTTGAAAATTACATGAAACAAAACAAAGTGTAACACTACTATGGTTGTGTCCACTCAGTACAGTATTTTGTGAGGCCTGATATAGTTCTGTTAATACGGTATATCATCTGCCAGGGTTATGAAGCACCGTTCACTAGGTCTTAGTTTTAAGTACTTCATGTGCCAGGATTATGAAGCACCGTTCACTAGGTCTTAGTTATTACACTAAATAGCAACTCTCAAATAACAAGAAACATAACAGAGAATTTTAGCCTTGAGAAAGTATGAACAAACACCGGAGTGGACAGCGGTACTAAATACATATACATTACAGCCTGATTATATTACATGACAGGAAACTACAAAACAGAATCTTTGCTAAAACACCTCTTGTTTAATTGTTTTACTCACCTCTTGTTTAATTGTTTTATTCCCGTGAATACGTTGTTTACCTTCGTGAAGACAATGTTGTTTTGCCTTCAGGAAAATAACAATGTTTACCTTTGTGAAGAAAATGTTTTGCCTTCATGAAGACAACGTTGTTTACATTCATGAAGACAGTGTTGTTCTACATCTATGGAGGCAACGATTTTTACCTTTTTTAGATAACAGTTAACTCGCCTTACCAGAAGGTAGGTCTGGCGTAATGAGAGGGAGGGTGTGGCACAGTGAGAGAGAGGGAGGGATGCTAGTGGTAGAGGGGTGTGGCACAGTGAGAGAGAGGGAGAGAGGGATGCTAGTGGCACAGAGGTGTGGCACAGTGTAAAGGGGTACAGCCTCAGGGTCGCTCTCCGGCACCTTTCTTGACCGTAACTCTGACTCCTCTCACTCCGGCACTGTCGCCATGGAAAGTCGTGCCGGTGCCCCAGGAGCCTTCGGGTCCACTGCCGCCTCCTCCACCACCGCCATGAAATGATCCACGTCTTGTACTTAATTCACTCCCATATCTACCTCCAGGTCCACTGCTGCGTGTGCTTCCTAATCCACTGCCGAATCCGCTTCCTGATCCACTGCCGAATCCGCTTCCTGATCCACTGCCGAATCCGCTTCCTGATCCCCCGCCGAATCCACCTCCTGATCCCCCGCCGAATCCACCTCCTGATCCCCCGCCGAATCCACCTCCTGATCCCCCGCCGAATCCACCCCCTGATCCCCCGCTAAATCCACCGCCTGATTCACTACTATATCCGCCACCTGATCCACCGCCAAATCCACCGTCTGATTCACCACTATATCCGCCACCTGATCCACCTCCAATTCCACCACCTGATCCACCTCCAATTCCACCACCTGATCCGCCTCCAATTCCACCACCTGATCCGCCTCCAATTCCACCACCTGATCCGCCTCCAATTCCACCACCTGATCCGCCTCCAATTCCACCACCTGATCCACCTCCAATTCCACCACCTGATCCCCCGCCAAATCCACCGTCTGATTCACCACTATATCCGCCACCTGATCCGCCTCCAATTCCACCACCAAAGCCGCCACCGCCACCACCACCACCACCACCACCACCTCTACCAGCACCGCCACACGAGTAACAGAGTTTGCTGGCCTCTCTCACGGCCCTCCCAGCACCCGAGTCTTGTGGTACTGCCGCCAGAGGTTCAGGCCGATGGAAGTTCCCCTCGGTAGAATCAGCTGATGCCTGAGGGTCTTCGGTAGATCGCTTCTGTCGGGGATTGCTTTCGGCGGCCTCCTCGGTGTTTCTTTTGTGGCGGTCTTCTTCGGCGCTTGATCCGCCCGAAGAGTTCCTTCTTGGTGATCGTCGGCCTCGGTAACCAGAGCTGCTGTAGGCCCCGCTGGAAGCCGAGGAGCTGCTGTACGATCTTGAATTGCCGTAGCCGCTGCCCCCGAGAGAGCCGCCACCACAGCCGCCGCCTCCACAACCTCCCCCTCCGAGAGAGCCGCCACCACAGCCGCCGCCTCCTCCACAACCTCTCCCTCCGAGTGAACCGCCACCACAGCCGCCGCCTCCACACCCTCCCCCTCCTAATGCTCCAATGGTTTGTATCCCATCAGCTACCGCTCTGATGCCTCCTGCCACACCAGATGCAATATCACTTGCTCCCCATCCTCCTCCTCCTCCTCCTCCTCCTCCTCCTCCTAAACCTCCTCCTAAGCCTCCTCCCCGTCCACTATAATAGCTTCCTCCTCCACCACCTCCGCTGACATATCCTCCTCCACCTCCTCCAACTAGACCGCCTCCACAGGTGCTGCAACCTCCTCCAGATCTGACGGTGAAGGCATATGCTTGGGGACGACCTGGCTCTCGCTTCTGTCTGGATTTGTATTCAGCGTTGGCGAAGTTGCCTGGATCTCCCATGACCCCGACAAGCGTCCCCGCTACCAACAGCAACACGGTGCACCACTGCATGGCCGCCCTGTGGGAAAACATTTACTTATTAAAATAATTATTTTTTAACGACTCATTGATGGGTAGAGGACCAGTGAACTCTGTGATCGAGGGCTGCCTTTACCCGTGACTGACTCAGAAAAACCAACATCTGACTATGTCTCTTTACACTGCAATATTGACTGTCAATTAATGCAAGAAACATACAGCTTTGTTCAGTCAATAACTATGATGTGGCCATTACTACTGCAATAGGTACTTCCTGACGAACAGCAGCTTTGATATATTGATTATTAACCAAATAAGAAAAAATGGACGAGAACGAGCATTAGAATTTATGATAGAAATAAACACCTTTTGGGCACTGTAAATAAAGGAAATATACGAAACACATTTTTTTAGCTACTGTACACAGTGTGAGCATGTGAAAAATTCCTATTTTACGTACTGTAAACTTGTATTTCATTCAGTATGCCTGATAGAGAATGCCGCCGTACTTCAAAGCTACTGCAGTGCTGTTGGTTTCAGCCCTAGATTCACTACTCGAGGAACAGGTCACGAGAAACAGTTTAGTTGAACGAGAAATCCAGTTCGGTACACGTATCAGTCATAATTATAGGCTAACTCAAAGGTACCAGTGTTCACCAATACTCTTTGTAGCAATATGATAGGCTGGCACCAGTGCCCTGGCTCCGACTCTCACATTGAAAAACAGTGAGAGATGGAGTCAGGTAGGTCATGCCATAGACTGTGCCAGTCAAATATTTATGACAGCAAACGCCGACTGTACCCAATCATACTTTTAATCTGACCTAACCTAATGATGCTCGTACTTAATGGGTAAGGTTAGGTTGGATTATTTAGGTAAGGTTAGGTTGGGTTATTTTGGTAAGGTTAGGTTGGATTATTTGGATAAGGTTAGCTAAAATTATTTGGGTTGGGTTAGCCTAGATTATTTGGGAAGGTAAGACTAGAAGTTACTAGAGTATTTGGGTTAGGTTAGGTTAGACTAGGTTACTGTACTGTACTTGAAAATGCATTGGAATTTTATCACAGTTTGGTTTTATGGGACCTTCAGTACAGTCGCTCCGAAATCAGTAATACAGAACGTTACTCGCACCACTGTATTTATGCATAGTTTTTGACAGGATCCTCAATGGTATACTTGCTTTCATACATAGAAGGCAAATCCTGTGGGGTGCAAGGAAAAACGCCTGGAAAACATTTTATAAACCAGTCTACATAAACGAGCCAAACCTAACCAACACCTACTCTCGGTTAGGTTGGGTTTTGTGGCCTGCCTCGTCAACATGAAATTAGTTTTTGGTCTTCCACCTGATTTGCATTTCGTGTATAACAAGAAAATATCAGCATAGATCCCGTCTAAAAACATTTAAAGAATAAAACAGTAATAGTAAATCAACTTACGGTATCAGGTGACGTGAAAAAATGTAGTGTCGTGCAATAGCAGCAACAACAACAGGGAGATGGCAGGTCCAGGAGGTGTGTGCGGGACCACTGGCACACCCGAACTGTTCCTCAGTCACTCCCTCAGACCTTGATATCCCTGACGGCTTGTTCATTTTCTTTTTTTGCTTGCTGACTGATCGTGTGCATTAGTTTACATTTAATTACGAAGAAAGGATGAGGCAGCAAGTTTGTGGGTCAGGATAACGCTGGGAGTTCCTGGAAGGTTAGGGGAGAAGCGTGTCCCACTCTGAATCTACTTCACTAAAGTAGTCTTCAAGAGGCGAGGCAATGGCGATTCATGATTACTTTAAGTGGAGGAAGTTTTAGGTTAGGATAACTTCACTAAGGTTCAACAGGCAAAGCAGTAGCGGATCCATGAAATTTCTAAGGGGGAAGCGGGCTAGCAAAAATTTGCATCGCCAAATAGGGATATAATTATCAGGGGTGGATAAAATACAAGCAGTGCTTGGGATCACCATGAGCAAAAAGATGGAAGGAGGATCGGGGCTCCATTACTACAGGACCATTAGTTTCATAATCTTGGAAATATTCCAGTATTGTTCACCTTTTTAATAGTCGTGCATATCTACTCCAATACTTACGAATAAAAAAGGTAATGGTTAAGTTGAAGGCTGTTATCACACACTTAGGTCCTACTCTTATTTTTACCAGGTAGCCAGGTATGTCACAGCCTTTGTACAAAATAAACCACCTTTACGAGCGAGTCAGATTGGTCATAGTATACTTTGGTGAACCACTCCGTGCTACATAGGTTAGGTTAGGTTGGGTTAGATCTGTTATGTTTATGCTTTGTCTTATACATAGTTATTTTGTACGCAGTGTCTGACTCAAACAAAACTAAGAGCAGACTCGAGTCTGTAGCAACAGCCTCAATTTAATCTGGAAGTTATTTGAGTGTGATTAGAATGCCTCTCCAAGCTAACTGTAGATGCAATGACCAACTTATTTGATAAGTACTTACGTCACAGTCTCAGTGGGCAAATAAACTTATCATGAATAATAAATGATTATCGAAAACTAATTACCCACTAAGGTCCGGATGGGGAGAAGCAGGGAATTTCCCCATCCAGTTGCCAGCAACTGCTTGTGCGTTTCTAAAATTAGTGTAGCACTTGTTGCTTGTTGTAAGTAATAAGGGTTGTGCTACCGATCACCGTTAAAAACAGTTTGGCTAATTTTTATTGTTGGCAAAGAATTTGTTTGGAGATTTTGGGAGGACGAATTTATTGTCGGTGGACTGTAGTGGAATCGACGTACAGTATATGACGGTTATTGTGTAAATATCGGTCGTTGTTTGTGTTTATATGAATGTTGCTAAAGATTTGCACAAATTAATTGGTGGGTTGGCTTTTAATTTTTCATAAATTTGAATATATTAACTATGAATTTCAATATTCCAGTGTGAGCCTCAAGTCGTATTTATGTACACCCACTAAAAATTATTCGGCACCCGTGTCATATTTGTATCACGCCGTAAGGGTGCCGAATTATTTTTTAGTGGGTGTACATGTTTATATACAGTAAATGCTCACGACCACACAGGTGCACATAGTCATACAGGTGTACACCCAATAAAAAATTATTCGGCACCCTTACGGCGTGATACAATATTACACGGGTGCTGAATAATTTTTTAGTGGGTGTATATAAAGTATATTTTGACTTTCAGGAGCCTCTTCATCGGGACTCGAGGGAATTTATTCTTGTATGTCAATCTTTCAGAGAACGGCCGCCCAAGCGGCTAACGAGACGATCAGTGGCGAAGAGGAAAAAAAGTAAGTAATGTACTGTAAAAGTAAAAAAAAAAAGTAGTTAAGAAAATCATGTCAAGCTGTAGAACTCAAGAGAAAATATGTTGTGAAGTTACTCTCCAGCCCGGTGAAGTACTTAATCGTGTGTTAATACCCAGATGAATGTGTAGATATACAGGTGTAGAGTTTTACCCCAGAACATGCATTAGTTGAGCTAGAGCACCAGAGTGTCAGCCTCGTGTACTGGCACACCACCAGGCAGCCACAAAGATGAGTCACACAAAAAAACAAATATTTCTGCAGAAAAAAGGACGAAGATGTCCCACTACAGCGAGCTACTACATGGAAATAAGGACTATATAGCAACCACTAAAATCTTGCAACTTATGAAATAGTGTGAATATCAATTATTTACAGTTATTAGAGAAGAGAACAATTGACAACAAAGAAAACCGATCGAGATGACCATGACGTATACAGTTGTGAAAATGTTCCTACGCCTCCTGTGGTAACCCGTGTCTCTAAACTAGCAACGTCGCAGTAATAGTATCACTGTTTATGAATGAACGTGATTGGTGGATAGGTTTGCTATAGGTCTCATAGGTTAGCCGTTTGGAGACACGGTTTACCACGGGGTGTAGGAACACATTTTCTCAACTGTACCTGAGCTCTTGACTTTGTCCACGCTATAGCTAGTATAAGATTATATAACTTGCTTTCACATAAAATACATTGGGGAGTGTTGTTTGAACTAAATATTCAGGTCTTAAGTTTTTTATTGCTCGCCTTTACTGACTGGCTGAATGATGTATTTTAGCTTATTTTTGTTTTCAATGCGTCATTTCTACCGAGACAGCAAACATAGTTATTTGACATAAAGTAGGACTGTAGATGATAATTATATGGAAAGGTCGTTGCCATGGGGAGAGGTCCTTCGTGAATCCGCCAGTGTAAGTAGTGTTCCAAGAATAGAGGCGAGGTCCACTAGGCTGTGACTATTTCTACCTGACCGTGAGGGAGGCTAGTCAACACACACAACACCATTGCTGATCTGTTTGGTCACGTGACTCGACTCTTCGCTTGCCTTACGTCCTTTGTTTCTACCGTCACGATCATGTGCAAACAGTGGTACGAGAGTTGTTTAAGAGACCTTGTTGTGTGGACGTTATGTTTTATGAGTCACGACACCAGGATGTCTTTATTAGGATACAATGGTCATTTACATACGCAAAACAAGTAATTCGATTGAAACTGGATGATCATGCTAACCACAAAGGTTCAGGCCCTGCGTCGCTTGTTCCCACAGGGACTAAATAGGCCATAACTAACCATTATATGGAGAAAAAATTTACCCAATATCTAACTCGCCACAGATTTTGTTAGCTTACGGTTATTTGCTATGATCAACGAAAGTAATTTTCATTCGTTGAAATTATAACATACACAAGATTGCCAGACAGCAAACCGATACAATTTCCTTGTCCACAGATACGAGGAATAAGAATGAGCGCCATTGTGTGACTACGGAGGACAACCTGCAGCTGACGACTTTGTCATTATTTTGTTTCATTCATAACTATTTCACTGCTACACTAATACGATAACTCCTGTCGTTTGGATGCTTTATCGAACGTATTTATTTATAATGTATTTACCCAGGATTTTGAAATCATGATTCATGGCTATTGAACTATCAACTTGTCGTATTACTGTACTAAATGACAATTGGCATTGGATTGGGAAAATTTTATCTTATATACAGGTTATAAAAATGGCCTTGAAGTGGCCTTGAAGAGAGATTTATATTAAAGAAAAACTAAGAATAAAGATAACCCGGGTTAAACAAAAACCAAACATGGGCTAAACAAAGTTAAGGTAATCTGAACTGGTCGTGTTATATGTCAGGATAACACTCGTAACAGGAGGGGCAGTGCACCAGGAGGTTAGGGGAGGCCCAGCTGTTGAATGAGGGAGGTGTGAGGGCATGTCTCTCCTTGGAGTGGCCACCATTAGGTAGTTCTCGGCCGCCCGTCAAGGTCCAGCGGGAACTCGACGTTGTTTTAACATAGAATCGACGTCGAAACAGTGAAGTAACATTATTCCAACATCAAAATAACATTAAAACAACGCTGTGTCCATTGGGATCCAGCAGAATCATCATGAGAACTCCCGCCCCACACACACACACACACACACAGGGAAGTGGTAAAGATATTTCCTTGTTTATGTCTGCAAATCTTGAAGTTTCTAGGTTGAATGTCATTGTCACAACCTTCCCCCTACCTCTCTCCCTCTCATCCCCTTCCTTCTTCTAGTTGCACCATCCCCCCTACCTTTCTCTCTTCCCTTCCTACTTGATCCTTTCTCACCACTTTCGAGTTGAAACTTCGCCCATCCTCTGTCCCTCCCTTTTCCACATGAACATCCAGCCTTACATCTCTCCCTTCATCTCGTAGTTGACCCTCCCACTACCTCCCCCTCCTTATTAAGACTTACCCCGTCCCCCTCCCCAATGAGAACTGTATGTCCTCACTGGAAATCCTGGTGGAGAAGACCTGTGCACACACATGACTTTTCTTTTCCACGGGGTCAGCCTGAAGGTCAGGGGAGTGTGTTCTACGTATCACGGGATGATGTGAGGTTAGGGTAAGCAGGAGTATTCATATTCTTACAGATTACGCAGGAATCATCATTAACAGTACAAGCGCAGGGGTAGAATATAGGTAACAAGTATATGAACTGTAATTTCCATATGGTAACGGTATAATAATGTTAGTGTCTTGAAACATGCAGAAAACTTACTTAGAAACTTAAACATGTGTACTTGTACAGATTCAGGCATAAGTTAAAGGTAGGGAAAGTTGATAAGAGGGGAGGGGAAGTTTAATGAGAAGGAATATGAAAATAAGAATATGCCAGAGAGGACTGGTGGCGCCACTATAAGACAGATAAATAAATGATAGATGCAAATAGCAAAGCAAAAAGGGAAGCCATGAAAATGTAAAGGAGAGAGGGATAAGAGGCAATAATCTGTGTGTTACCTTTATTCCTCTCCCACTCTAGTGTAGGGTGGGTCAAGTGGTACAGAAACCTCAATAGAAGCGGAGGAATTAATAGAGGAGACTGATGCAAGATAAGTAGAGGAAATACTGTGCCAAGATAAGTAGAAATACCAACACATTTGTTCATATCCTCAATTTAATTATGTACTCAGTTTATAAAGAAATTTATTGACATGCACATTGAATCAGTTACTTATTGCTGCATACTAAGTTGACCTGTCAGGGGGGGGGGAAATTAATTAATGGGAATTGATAGGACAGACTATGGTCAATGATAAGATATGAAATGCAAAAGATGATT